TGCAGATGGCTATTCTGTGGTGCAAAAACAGGGTTCCAAGGCCCAGACCTACAGAATTTCACATGATTTTCAGATGAAATCCTCTCTAAGCAAACCTGACATCATCGAAACCATCTATGTCCACACACAACAAGAAGTCATGCATATACCTCTGCAGTGGCGCAAAAACTCGATGATTGTGGGAAGAATGATGGTTTTGTGCCTCGCTAATCCAGAGAGGATAAAAAGATCTTTGAGTATCTTTCACTGCTGCTAAGTAGGCATTGGTTGTGATTTTTGCAACTCTTAATTTAAGTACCTTCAGGGCCGGCCTGCAAATGCTCTCTAGCCTTCTTCTATTTATCCTGATGCATTATCCCGATGCTATGAATTGAGGTATATGCGATGTTTACTTTTAGGTCTATTGGCACAGAAGTGTTTGGTGATCTTTATCTTACTTGAGATTCTTGCCAAACCAACACAACTTGCCTATCTCTTCCACCTATGCACAATGATAAAAAAGGGCACACCTCCCTAACTACAGGTGTGCCATGGTACAAAAACATGGATCCAGGGCCTGAATCCTCATGGATCCACATGATTGTTACATAGGATCCTCCCCAAATAACTGTTCAATCACTGTTCCCATCTGTGCTCATGGAGAAGATAATCATGAATCTTCATGAATCTTACATGGAATTTCTACTAAACCACCATCCAGTTAGGGGTCCTGTCTGCCTACACAATCCATAAACCCGAAGTCATTGATCCCTCAGATCATGATGTCAACATTGTGCGAACATCTGGATCCAACTTTGTGGCTCTTACACAACCAGATGACAACATGAATCCAAAGCAGAGATCTTTATTGATCCATAGGATCAAGTACTGCTAAATTGTGGCCCGCTCTGTTTCCATAAAGTCAAGCATAACACAGTATCTCGTCCACGGCATCCTCATCATGCAAAAAATAAAATTAAAAACCCCAAAACGGTTGGATATCTGTGTCATAGACCTCATGGACCACATGATTTCCAATTGGGATTGTTAAAAAACAAAATTAACAACAGGAGGCCTCGTTTGTCCCTTGGCCATTCTTCCTGTGCCCCCCAGAGCCCTGAGGTTCCCTCCACATAACTCTCTTGATCGCCAATTCTAGAAAGGAACACCACTCTTTAGCAACTGAATGATTGCAATGCCCCAAGGGAAAAAGAAGGCCATCCTGGGAAGGGTAGAAATGGGAGTAAGGCCCCCCAGGGCTGAAAAAGTGCTCCCCATAAGAACCACCAATGTCACCTTCTTTGACTGGCCTGCCTAGAGACGTATGACTCGAATCTTCAGCAGCGTTTTGTTAGAGCAGCTTAGCAGTCAATGAGTTCCACCTACTGTTAAGATACCTGTATTGTCGTCAATCTTTACCCAAGATGTTGGTCTGCTTTTGGTATTTTTTTCCACTTTGAAGTTCATTCCTGTCTGGACTGCAACAACAAATGAGGGGTCAAGGTACTTTCTTTCCAAAGGTAATCAAATTGGCTTGAAAACTAAGATCATGGCCGCTGGTCCCATCACCTCCTGGCAAATAGAAGGGGAAGATATGGAGGCAGTGACAGATTTTACTTTCTTGGGCTCCATGATCACTGCAGATGGTGACAGCAGCCACAAAATTAAAATACGTCTGCTTCGTGGGAGGAAAGCGATGGCAAACCTAGATAGCATCTTAAAAAGCAGAGACATTTAATTTAATTCTAATAGACATTGGGAAGGCACCACCTTTTCCCCCCCAAATTTTATTTAGAATATATTTACTCCACCTTTCTCCTTAAAAGAGCAGGGACGTGGTGGCACTGCGCGGTAAACCACAGAAGCCTGTGTGTGCTGCAGGGTCAGAAGACCAGCAGTCGTAAGATCGAATCCACACGACGAAGTGAGTACCCATCGCTTGTCCC